ATTTGAATAAAGCAAGTTGACACTTACTGGTTTAAAATCAGGAAAGGTGTGTGTCAGGACTGAATTGTTTCATCATACTTATTCAAGCTATATGCTGAGAAAATAATCCAAGAAGTTAGATTATATGAAGAAGAATGTGGCATCAGGATTGGAGGAAGACACATTAACTACCTGTGATATACAGATGATGCAACCTTGCATGCTGAAATCAAAGAGGACTTAAAAAACTTACTAATGAATTTCAAAGACCACATCTTTTGGTATGGCATATATATATGGATATAAGTATATTGCAAATATATTTCTATACATAAATATATATAAAGGAAACAAAATTCCTCGCAATTTGATCATTAAATAACATGATAAATGGAGAAAAGATTGAAGTTGTTAAAAACTTCATTTTGCTTGGATCTACCATCAACACTCATGGAAGCTGCAGTGGAGAAATCAAATGACATATTACATTAGGTCAATCTGCTGCACAAAACCTCTTTAAAGTGTTCAAGATCAAAGGTGTTAGCTTGAGGACTAAGAAACGCCTGGTATTTTCAACAGCCTCATATGTATGTGAAAGTTGGACAATGAATAATAAACCCACAGAAGAATTTAAATATAAGAGTCCTGGTGTTGGAGGAGAATATTGTAAGTATCATGGACTGCCATAGAAACAAACAAATCTGTGTTGGAAGAAGTACAACCAGAACATTCCTTCAAAGCCAAGATAGCCAGACTTTGTCTCTCATACTTAAGACATATTATCAGAAGGGACCCGTCCCTGGAGAAGTATATCATGCTTGATAAAGTAGCTCAGTAAAAAGGAGGGAGACCCCTAGTGAGATGGACTGGCACAGTGGCCGTAGTGGGCTCAGGTATAACAACAATTGTGAAGCTGTACACAAGGTCACTGTGAGTCAGAACCTACTGAACAGCATCTAACAACAACAACAACGGAACACAGACTAGTACTGTTACTAAATCTTCTTAAGTTATCTTCAATTATTGCATTCTTCATAATGTGTCATCAGAAAAGGAAAGGCTTACCTCACTTAGCTGAAAGGGGGTTTTAATCGTTTCTCTTTCCTGAAATTTATTTTGCCATTGTCCTTTGAAATATATGGCATTCACCAAGACCATTACAGAAGACGGGTCAATTGTGCCCTTTCCAAAGAGGTCCTTGACTTTTCCTTGAATTAAAAAAAGAAGAAAATGGTAATTCATTTGAATTTCAACTAACGGATTATAGAAAATTGAATAGTCACAAGACATTTGGGGACACTGTTTTTTTAACTGGGTTTTTTTTTGTTTGTTTGAAGCTTTTTATTGTGAATTGAATGAAGATTTACAGAGCAGATGATCAGTTTTTCATTCACTAAATTGCACACTAGTTCATCTCAGTGACTGCACTCTCCTCCATGAAATAATAGTTACCCCACTTCCTCTGTCTGGTTTTATTTACATTCCACCCTCCTGCCCAAGCCTTCTCAGCTTTGTCCTTAGGTAAATGTGACCCTTTTGATCTTAAACGATTGACCATTTCATGGTGAACAGATCTTACTAGTCTCCTTTATATGCCTACCTATGGCTTAGCTGAATATTGGGCCACGAAGGTGAGTTCCTTTCCAGATCTGAAGGGTAACTGAGAACTGTAGTCTCAGTTCCTTCAGTTTCTTTCAGACCAGAAAACCTGATTTTTTAAATAATTTTGAGTTTTGTTGTTGTTGAGAATATACTCAGCAAAACATACATCAATTCAACACTTTCTACATGGACAATTCAATGACATTGATTCATTTCTTCTACTTGTGTAACCTGAACTGCAAGGTCAGGGGTTCAAACTCACCTGCCGCTTGTCAGACACCCTATATAGGGTCGTTATGGATTAGAACTGACTTGATGACACTTAACAACAGCAAGTTGTGTAACCATTCTCACCCTCCTCTTCTGAGTTGTTCCTCCCCTGTTAACCTAAACACAAATCCCTTAAGGGTCCTATCTAATCTTTCAAGTTGTTACTCTCAATTTGATTCCATATAGATCATTCTTTGAAAGTGCCCAATGCTCAAGGCAAGCGTCTTTAACTACTTAGCTAAACTATTATTTGCTTGTAAAACTCCTTCAAGGGTTATTTTTTGGTCTAAGGTTTAAAGATTATCTCTGTGCAATGGTTTCAGGGGTTCATCCAAACTTTACGTCTCTGGAAAGTTCATTGCTTTTTGTAAGGTTAATTGCAAATTTGAAATGACCAAAGAGCTCCACCTTCTGACTATAGATCCTATCCTTGTCAAATTATGTTTATTTCAAAGAAAAGGGAATCGTTAGTTATTTCTAATTAGATGATAGGAAGACAAATACTTGTTTTCTTCATAAAATACTTTATGAAGGAAGAAAAAAGAAAAAAATGGATGGGACATTATTAGAGCAAAAGAGACCTAAAAGGACTGTTCCTCAGGCCACTGAACACAGAATTTTTAAAATAAAATGGTAATCCTGGTGTGGTGCTGTGGGCTGATGCATCAGACTGCAAAGTCATTTGAACTGCAGGGTCAGTGGTTCAAGCTCACCAGCTACTCCTTGGAAACGCTATACAGGGTTGCTATGGGACAGAATCGACTTGACGGCACTTAACAACAACAATAATTACTG